GAGATGAGGTCTCGCTGCCCAGGCGGGTCTCGAACCCGCGGGCTCAGGCAATTCACTCTCTTCAGCCTCCCAAAGGCGCGGGATTACAGGTTGAGCCACCGAGCCCGGCTATAACTCACTTTTTAAAATGCTCTCGGCTTCTACATATTCTTAGAGAACTTTCATGACATTGTACAGTTTCACACTACAGTTGCTTATAAAAGCCAAACTTCTCAATTTTAAGCACTTCACAAATCCTACTTTTTCTCAGCAGATCACTCCATCCTTTGTTCTCAACCCCATGAATAAGGGTGAGGAAGCTTGCACCTTGTTATCTCTGCTTACTCTGAGTCTCATGAAGGAAGAATGGGTCTTTCTTTTTCTTTTCTTTCTTTTTTTTGAGTTGGAGTCTCACTCTGTCGCCCAGGCTGGAGTGCAGTGGCATGTTACTGGCCACCGCAGCCTTGACCTGCTGAGCTCCGGCGATCCTTCCACCTCAGCCTTCCAAGTAGCTGGAACTACAGGCACGCGCTACCATACCCGGCTAATTTTTTGATTTATTGTAGAGATGAGGTCTCACCAAGTTGCCCAGGTGGGTCTCGAACCCATGGGCTCAGGCAATCCACTCTTCCCAGCCTCCCAAGGTGCGGGATTACAGGCTAAACCACGGAGCCCAGCTATGATCTGTATTTTTAACAGAGCTCTCACGGATGCCAGATGGTGTGATGACCAGGGTGGCGACCAGTGGAGGGGAAACATGGTGTGGCAGGATGTGGCAAATGTTTAAATATATTTTTTGTATGATTGAGTAAATAAACACAAAAACACATGTAGCTGGTTCGGAATCAGCAGTTGGCCTCATGGCAATCACCTGGAATAACTCCCAGAGGCAAGAGGAGAGGTTGCTAGCAGTTAAGGGTATTTCCTTTTGAAAGGCAAGTTACAACTTTAAAGGCCCACCAGGCGCTGGACAGGTTTTGTTTAAGAAAGGCCAAATGGCCCAGAGACTGGTCATTTCATGGAAATGAAAAAAGTCTTATCTAAAATCCCCCTTCTGAAGTTGACGGTTTACAAGCCTGCAGTTCCTGGAAACCATTTGTTTTTTGAAAAATCTAATCTTGCTGAGTACAACCTTGTAAGATTCCAAAGAAAATATGTAATCACTCAACACGACCCCCCTCCCTTACCTAAACAAGGGTATAAGACCCCACTTCTCCTGTTCTGGGGCACTTGATTTAGACACATTAGATTCTTGGGCCCGCTGGGATGGCCAGCGTAATAAAGTGCCACTTTCTATAACAGTCTCGGTGTCACAATCTCTCTATTTTTCCTGCTACAATGGCAGCTTCAGACGCAGGGCAGAGGCGGAACTTACGGGACTTGTTAGTGGTGTGCATGTGTGGGAGACAGCTGACTTCCAGTGGGAGGCCTGCATGACTGGGCAGATGATGGTAAGGCAATGAGAGCAGTCAGGGAGCAGCAGGCCGAGGGGGCCTTCTGTACCTGTGTGACTGGGGGGGTGCCTGTTTGATACCCAGGCAGAGCCGAGAGTCAGCAGTGCACAGAAGCAGTTAGACGCCTAGGACTGGGAGAGATCATGTGGGATGGGGGTGCTGAGTGCATTAGAGATGAACCTGAAGGGGCTGTCAATACTCATGGGAGGACCCAGCCAAATGGACCAAGGAGGACCATAAGGCAGGAGGAACACAAGCAGCAGTGGTTAGTGGCCCAGAAGCTGAGAGAGCTGCAGAAAGGCCAAGGACAGTCCCCCAACAGCTGCTGAGAGATCCAACGAAAGACAGAACTGGCTGCCGGACTTGGCAACACAGAAGCAGATGTGGCAAGAAGAACGGCCTTCCAAGGGAACAGGAAGTAAAGGTGAGCAGGGAGACTACTCAGATAGGGCAGAACTGAGAGGCGGAGCAGTGAGAGGGGGCTAAACAGTTGTAGCCAAGAGACATTACAGGAATGTGAAAGAGGCATTGGGACCCAGAACACACATGGAGAATAAGGGCGAGGGGCACTAGCCCCTCTACCAGCCCACAGGACGGGATACAATTGCAGGTGCAGGAAGCCAACAGGCTGGAGGATTGGGGGGTGACCGACAAGCTGGTCCACTCCTGATGCCCTGACTTTCACAGGGAAGTATGAGGTCAAGGTAGTGGCTGACAGGGACAGCAGGAGGGAAACAGCTGCAGCAAGACTGCCGGGTATGCTGACTGCCCGACACACTGACTGCCCATTGAAGATTTGAGATGAGGAGTTTAAAGTGAAACCGGCTGCCAAAGTGGTGTCACTTCTTTCAAAACTGTTCAGTTGCTGGGGTGCTGCTGGGTCAGCTGCTGGATACAGCAGGCATTAAAAAGGCAGGTGAGTTCAAGCAGAATGGAAGGTTCTGTGACTTCAGCAGAGTCTGAAGCCATAATAGAGGCCCAGTATTTTTTTTATAGTTTGTATATCCCTATAATACAGACTGAATTTCAAAGGGATAATGAAAATTATTATTATAATTTAACTATTATAATAAATTATTATTTTAAAAATTTTAAAGATGTGGGGTACAATTCAGGGTTAGATATACAAGCCTTCATTATGCAGGTACCCTTGTTGATGAGGTGTGCCCTTCCCTCCCCTGGTAGCTTCCCTCAACTGCCAATCCCATCCCCAACCCCCGGCAGTTTCCCACTATTGCCAATCCCTTTCTTATAGTATTATGATAATTGTTCAAGGTCTGCTTATGAGTACTCTGTTCTTTGTTTCTGTGTTAGATCGCTGAGTATGATAGAGTCTAAATCCATCCAAGTTGCTGCAAAGTTCATATGTTTGTCCTTCTTTATGGCTGCAAAATTATTTTTTGTTTCAGTGGCCAAGAGCAGAAAGAGCCATCACTTAAACAAGAATTTATTTTCCGACTTTGTTTTTACTATAGATTAAAATTTAATATAATTTAATTCACATATAAAGACAACTCTGGAGACTATCTGGATACGATGGCAGCTTGGGGTTGAGTAACTGAGGTCATACTCAAGCCTGAGCAGATACCAACTTGCTTAAGCCTGAGAAATAGGATTTCTCTCTCTCACTCATCACTTCGAAATGTAATGGCCTCCTGCAGAAGTTACACTCAGCTGAGGAATGCGGCTTCAGCTCCAGCCCCACTCGCTTCCACGTGGCCAACAGATTCTCTGAGAAAAAACAGTTTCTTATTATTATTACTATTATTTTTTTGAGTCGGAGTCTCAATCTGTTGCCCAGGCTGGAGTGCAGTGGCATGCCCACGGCCACTGCAGCTTCAACCTGCTGGGCTCAGGCGATCCTTCCACCTCAGCCTTCCAAGTAACTGGAACTACAAGTACATGCCACCAAGCCCAGCTAATTTTTTGATTTATTGTAGAGACGAGGTCTCACCAAGTCACCCAGGCTGGTCTCGAACCCTGGACTCAGGCAATTCTCTTGTCTCAGCCTCCCAAAGTGCTGGGATTACAGGCGAGAACCACCACATCCAGCAGTTTCTCATTATTAAAGGGAACATATGATGCAAGAGAAATGAAAGCATATGTCCACACAAAAACTTGTTCATAGCAGTGTTATTCACAATGGTCAAAAAGCAAAACAACCAAATGTCTATCAACTGATGGATAAACAAAATGTCAAGTTACATGGTAATAAAAATAAGTGAAGTATTGATATATGCTACGACATGGATGAACCTTGGAAACACTATGATGTGAAGAAGCCAGGCATAAAGCACCTCATGTTGTATGATTTCACTTATACAAAATATTCAGAAAAGGCAAATCCAAAGAGTCAGAAAGATCAGTGGTTGACAGTGGCTAGGGAAAAGGGGAGTGAATGTTAATAGGTATGGGGTTTCTATCTGGGGTGATGAAAATGTTCTGGAATCAGATAAAAGGTGATGACTGTGCAACACTGTGAATGTACTTAAAAACCACTGAACTGTATACTTTAAAATGATGAATTTCATGGTATGTGAACTATATCTCAATAAGGCTGCTATAAAAATAAATAAAAATAAAGTGAAAAATAGGACCTTAAGGTGGGCTTTATTTCATAGGCCTTCAAGGAAGAAGTTGCTCTTACATTGCCACATGTAAGTTAGTTTAAACTGAACATTTCTTTTTTTTTTTTTTGAGTTGGAGTCTCACTCTGTCATCTAGACTGGAGTGCAGTGGCCACTCCTGGCCACCACAGCCACAACCTGCTGGGCTCTGCGATCCTTCCACCTCAGCCTTCCAAGTAGCTGGAACTAGAGGTGCACGCTACCACACCCGGCTAATTTTTGATTTATTGTAGAGTTGTGGTCTTACCAAGTTGCCCAGTCAGGTCTCGAACCCGTGGGGTCAGGCAATCCATGCATCTCGGCCTCCCAAAGTGCTGGGATTACAGGCTGAGCCATAGAGCCTGGCCTAAATGGAACATTTCTAACATAGCAGAAAGCTGGTACAGAAGCTGAGTCTTCTTGGGAGGGATTAGGAGGGCAGCAGGAGGGCAATGTATCCTTGAGACAGAGACAACCTGTGGCTAAAAGTTTCCTCAGTTTCTGCTTTTAGGTTGGGCATGGTGGGGGGTGGGCAGTACAGAGTGTGAGCAGTACAAAATGTTGAGCAATTACTCTTATCCAAAAGGGTGAGGCATGGGGTTGGTTCAAGGATCATACAACGTCACAGAGTAGACAGCAGTGCAGAGGACAAATGTGAACTGGACTCTGGAGGGCCAACAAAGACTCAAGCCTTTGGAGGCCTCTTCTCCCTGACAATAGTCATTCTGTGCATCCTTAAGCCACTCAGACGAGGGGCACTGGAAACACTGGGCAGATTCCCAGGCTCCCTCAGAGCTTCCAAAATGACTCTGCATCCTCTTGAAGCAAGTCAAACAACTAAATGTCTTCTAGCATTTTGGAATCATTTGAGGGTACTCTTAACTACGTGGAAAAAGAATAAACAAATCAGAATGCCTCTGAAGGGCTTCACAGATGAACACTGCAAAGACAGCTTATGCAACTCTCCAGTGAGGCACTGGCAGCTCCCCAGGTACTCACCAAGGAAGTAGTTCATCATCTGTGGTGTGTGGTGAGGGGTGGGGGCAATCCGCAGGAGCTCCTCCCCCCGGGGCACTGTGGGGTAATTGATTGCTTGCACATAGATGTTATGTCTGCTCATGAGTTCATCACAAACTTCTGTGTTTTTAGCAGCATCTGCAACCTAAGTTTGATGAGAGCAGAAGGGAAAGTCACAACAGGATGGGTCACCTCTTAGCAGAGGTTCTTTTTTTTTTTGAGTTGGAGTCTCACTCTGTCACCCAGACTGGAGTGTAGTGGCCGCTCCCGGCCACCACAGCCTCAACCTGCTGGGCTCCAGTGATTCTTCTGCCTCAGCCTTCTGAGTAGCCAGAATTACAGACATGCGCTACCATGCCCAGCTGATTTTTGATTTATTGTAGAGATGAGATCTCACCAAGTTGCCCAGGTGGGTCTTGAACCCGCGGGGCTCAGGCAATCCACTCACCTCAGCCTCCCAAGGTGCGGAATTATAGGCTGAGCCACTGAGCCCAGTTTAGCAGAGATTCTAATGAGCACAAATGCCTACCAGGCTCAGGCTTGAGACAAGACTGTAGCAACATACACAAGCTTGGGGGAGAGGCAAAGTGCTGCCCAAACACCTGTGATTGACTGATTGATTGATTTTTGAGTTGGAGTCTCACTCTGTAACTCAGGCTGGAGTGCAATGGCACGCTCACAGCCACTGTAGCCTCGACTAGCTGGGCTCAGGCGATCTTTTCGCCTCAGTCTTGCAAGTAGTTGGAACTACAGACATGCACTACCATGCCTGGCTAATTTTTTGATATATTGTAGAGATGAGGTCTCACCAAGTTGCCCAGGCTGGTCTCGAACCCTGGGGCTCAGGCCATCCTCTTGCCTTGGCCTCCCAAAATGCTGGGATTACAGGCTTGAGCCACCATGCCCAGCTACACCTGTGATTTAGAAGGAGCTGGTGTTGTTCAGTGAGGACCAGAGAACCAAAACCATATAAGAAGTGAATTTGACCAGGCACGATGGCTCAAGTCTGTAATTCCAGCACTTTGGGAGGCCGAGGCGAGAGGATTGCTTGAGCCCAGGGGTTCAAAACCAGCCTAGGCAACTTGGCGAAACCTCATCTCTACAGTAAATAAAAAAATTAGCTGGGCATGGTAGCACGCACCTATAGCTCCAGTTACTTGGAAGGCTGAGGCAGAAGGATTGCCAGAACTCAGCAGGTCGATGCTGGGGTGGCTGTGAACGTGCCACTGCACTCCAGCCTAGGCGACAGAATGAGACTCCAACTCAAACAAAACAAAACAAAACAAAAACCAAAAAGTAAATTTCACATTGCTGTCCTCCTAGGCCTCATTTTTGGAGAAAAACAGTGGTTCTACTACATCACCTGGTCCTTGAACCCAGGATGTATAACCCAACTTCAGTTATATGAGTTCATCACAAACTTCTGTGTTTTTAGCAGCACCTGCATTTGTTATACTAACTCAACTGTGACAGCAACAGGGCTACAATTTGTAGTGGAGAGTGCAAGATTCAAAATTTACTAAAAGAAAACCAAACTTCAAAGATGGCCAAGCGCAGACTTCTGGAGCTTTCCAGATACTAGTTCTGTGTTTACCCTGCTAAGGTCAGTTCTCCGGAGAGGGGATCAGCCCGCAGGGTTCAAAGGTTTGACTTTCATTGTAAAGTCAGCCAAAGGAGGAAACACAGCAGAGGGCCAGTGGATATAGCCGCTGCCTTGGTAGTCACCCCACCAAGCCCAACTTCAGGAAAGTGTAAACCAGAACATCCACACATCATGTGGGGAGGCACAGCCCCCAGAAAGAATCAGAGACAAGCCATTACCCGGACAGGGATGATGTGACTGGGACAGTGGACAACTGGGAGGCCAGCATCCATCAACATCTGCCTCATGAGCTTGACGTTGCGCTGGTGCTGGCGGCGAAGTGCCCGCCCCTCAGCACTCTTCAGGATCCGCACAGACTCCAGAGCTCCAGCCAGCAACATGGGTGGCAAGGAGGTGGTGAAGATGAAGCCAGCTGCATAGGACCTCACAGTATCAATTAGAGATTTCGTGCTGGCAATGTACCCTCCAACACAGCCAAAGGCTTTGCCTGGAAGGAGAGTTTCGTTCATTATAGCAACAGCCTCTAAATGTACACAGCAAGACACTGCAGAGCCTCAAAGCATTTACTTTTCTCCTTATCATCTTAATTTGTCCCAGGATTGATATAAGTATATGTGCCACAAAACGACATCTCAGCCAATGATGGGCCATATATTTGATGGTAGTACCATAAACTTTTGATGTCGTAATTTTACTGTACCTTTTGTATGTTTAGATATGCTTAGATGCATACAAATACTATGGCGTTACAGATGCCTACAGTATTCAGTATACTAACATGCTGTACAGATTTGTAGCCTAGGAGCAATAACTATACCATATAGCCTGGGTGTGTAGTAGGGTGTGCCATCTAGCTTTATGTAGATACACTCTATAACGTTTGCAAAATGACGAAACTGCCTAATGGCCCACTTCTCAGAATGTATCCCCATCACACTTTAAAGGATATCTATCCATTTTTAAAAGGGAAAAAAGTGGAGGAATGTATGAAAGGGTCTTGCCCAAAGTCACATAGTCAAGCTAGTGTCTGACAAGGATGAAAATGCAGGTCTTCAAACCAGGCCTGGCACCCAATGACTAGGCTCAGCTGCCTCTCTTCCCACCATTTTCTCCTCTTCTGCCTTTCTCACCCAGGCTTGCTGCTCTGCCAGTCAACAAAGCTCCCCTTTCAATGTTCTGCACTGTATATGCTTTCTGGACCCAGGTCTGAGTTACAGTGCTTGCAAGATCCTCGCACTGTAAACACTACCCTTGAGGCTGGAATTTTACCTAGCTAGGCATTAACTGTTTTGGTGTGACCTGTGTTATTTCCTACTTAAGGAAAAACAAACTCTTGACAATTAGCATCTGCCAGATAAATATGAAAACACAGAATGAGTTAGGATTGATTTAGGGATAGACTTGTTTTTCAATTCTCGTTAAGTTGCTTTAAATAATCTGTATCTCAAGTTTCAGGATTAAGAACTCCAAAGAATCTTCACAGATCTTAACATTATGTTCTGTAATTAACATTTTTTGCTGAAACCACATGCAGGGCTGAGTTGCTTAACTCCTACAGTGGAAAATTTCTCTTTAGCCTTTTCCATCTCACAATGACCAAACCTTCAAAAAGCCCATATCAAGAGAGCTTTTTAAAAGAAAAGAGTTGCTAGAATTAGGACACATGAACAAGTGCTTTTCTCTTGGCAGGGTTCTGCTCTGAGAACCCAGGCTCTCTAAGCTCACATGAGGCTCACACACCCTTTAACAGTGCTGAAGGTTGCTCTTTTTTTGCCTGCCCTTCCTTTACCACGCGTGGGCTATAAATCAACATTTTAGTCGACTGCTAGATGGGTTTCCAACTATGTTTTCACCTCTTTAAAGTTTTCATAGGCAAAGGGAAAGTCTACACTAATTGTCTGCATACAACGCATTTAGCTTCTTCACAAAAATTCTGACTTAGGTCCTATTGTTTTTTTTTTTTTTTTTTTTTTTTTTGCTGGGCTCCGGTAATCCTTCTGCCTCAGCCTTCTGAGTAGCCAGAATTACAGGCATGCGCTACCATGCCCAGCTGATTTTTTCATTTTTATTGTAGAGATGAGGTCTCGCCAAGTTGCCCAGGTGGGTCTCAAACCCGTGGGCTCAGGTAATCCACTCACCTCAGCCTCCCAAAGGCGCGGGATTACAGGCTGAGCCACCGAGCCCAGCTAGGTCCTATTGTTATCTCCATTATACTGATGAGGAAACTGAGGCGCAGAGAGGTCAACTACCAACCCAAGGTCACACAAATATTGAGTTATGTAGCCATGATTTAAAGCCAGGAAGCATGACTCCAGAGTCCAACTCCCAACTACCATGATACTATCTCTGTATGAGGAGGGACAGAGGAAAGCAGAGGTGAACTAGAATGTTCCCAAGTGGCAGGCACAGAGCTTGGCATTGTAAACCTCACAACTACTCTAAGAGAAAAGTACTAGAGCCACAGCTATGTCTGAAATGAGTTCAGATGGCAATAAATGTTATTTCTGTTGTGTCAGGCTGTGAGATTCACTTTGATTCTAGGAGCCATGCCTCCATGACCCAAGGGAATCTGCTAAGCTGTGCCATCACTCATTGGGACAAAAAACTCATCCAAAAGAAAAAGTGGTCCAGGCTTTATATGCTATCCCACTGTCTCCTCACCTGATTCCAGTTACACCAGTTAGTCCTTGGCCTTGTTGGGCTAATGTAATTTTAGTGTAGATGACAGAACATGCAAAGTATACCTACCAAGTGTTCCAGAAATGATGTCCATTTTTGGCATCACTCCATCCCGATCCCCAATCCCTCCGCCTTGAGCCCCATATAGTCCCACTGCATGGACCTCGTCCACAAAGGTGATTGCTCCAAACTCATGGGCCACATCACACAGCTCTTCCAGTGGGCACACTGCCCCTAAGGAAAGACCAGAGACTGCTCTGAAAAGCTTGCCATTTCACAAATTTCTGTTCTGGTTATATTCAAAACAAAGTAAACTTACATTCTAAGGTATCATTTTTAATATTGGGAAGAAAATAAATTTCCCCCAATTTCTAGGTTACTTTGGGGTCTTAGAGCCTAATAAAAGCCAGAGTAGAAAATCTACATTCACCCAAATTTATAAAATGTCCTCCAATCACAAAATCCTGGCAGAAAATAAAATGCAAAAACAAAACAAGACGCCATGCTTTTTTGTGCATCAGGGTCTCACTCTGTCACTCAGGCTGGAGTGCAGTGACATGTTCATGGCTTACCACAGCCTCAACCTCCTGGGCTCAGGTAATCCTTCTGCCTCAGCCTCCTGAGTAGCTGGGACTACGGGTGTGTGCCACCACACCTGGCTAACTTTAAAAAAATTTTTTTTTTGTAGAGATAGAATCTTGCTATGTTGCCTAGGCTGGTCTCAAACTCTTGGCTCAAGCAATCCTCCCACCTCGACCTCTCAAAGTGCTGGGATTACAAGTGAGAGCCACTGCACTCAGCGACAGCATACTTTTAAATGAGAGTTCAGGCCTAGCTTTTCATCTCAGATTTCAGATTAGTCTCTACTTAGACTTACCATCCATTGAGTGGACAGTTTCAAAGGCAACAATCTTGGGGACTGAGGGGTCAGATCTTTGCAGCAGTTCTCTGAGATGGCTGACATCATTGTGGCGGAAGATGTACTTTGGCACTCGACTGTTTCGAATCCCTTGGATCATGGAGGCATGGTTCCCAGAATCAGAGTAAATCTCACAGCCTAACATGACAAAAATGCTATTTATTACCATCTGCAAAAGATAAATTATTTCCTAAAGGGAGACAATAGACTTTTACCTGAAAATGATTTCTTGAAAATGCCTAGTAAGAAAAAGACATTGTGCCAGTTTCTTCCTGGCAAAGTAACTAGTTAGTGCTTTTCCTTTGAGAAGGCCCAAAGGTGTAGAATAACCCTGTAGCAGGCAATTAATCTGCTTTTAAATCTGACTGCCCCACTCCAAACCTAAAAATGATTAAGAGATTTCTCCAAAGAATCTTCTTAGAATACAAAGCAAATTTGAGGCAATTAGTATAAGGGCAATATCTTTCAAGTCTAAATCTTCATTTAATTATGTTCTACTGGAACTCATAATGTATAATTAGCATTTCCATGCTTGATCCAAGAGCACATGTCCCCAGACAGGACCCTTACTTTCAAATAAGAGTTTTTAGTAAGCCTTCTTTGTTGACAATATTCTTCATATTACTAAGAAAGCCAAACAAAATCCAAAGTATCCACACCAGGTTTCCTCACCTGGCATCATCTTAGCTAGGGTGAAGAGGGTCGAGTCATTGGCCACAAAGCATGAGGAAAACAAGAGTGCTGCATCTTTCCCATGGAGATCAGCCAGCTCCTGCTCCAGGTCCACATGGAATTTACTGGTTCCAGAAATATTTCTAGTACCACCTGCTCCAGCACCATGTTGTTTCAAAGTTTCCCTGTTTTTTTTAAAGACAGAAAATAAAAGTTCACAATTCTAAACATTGTGTGAATTATTCCTCTTTTCAGTATTCAGGAGACTGAAACTTATGTTGATCTAGCAATTCTCTCATCATGAAACCTGAGCCAGAAGTTTCAATTGACTTCACCTTCATATTAAGTGAGAGAAGGTATCAATACTTGGGATCCTCAAAACAAGTGTTCATTTGACAGGCAACAGCTACTTAATATCAGCCAAGCTAATATACTAATGTTTCTTTTCTCTGAGAAACATCATTCTTTCCAATAGCACGATATCTAAAGAAAAAGCAAACTCTAGAGGGACATCTTGGATGGTAGTTACCTAAAACCTCTGCAAACTAGTCACGTAATGTCAGGGTATATATCTATTGTTAAACCTCAGATGAGACTCTCTCGAGCAAGCGTCTTGGTGAGTTTGGAAGCAGCTCTCTCAAGCATCTCTCTAGTCTCCTCCTGAAGGACATGAATGACGGGATCTACCACCGTTTTTAAAATGCCCTTTCTTTTTTTTCTCTTTTTTGAGTTGGAGTCTCACTCTGTCGCCAAGACTGGAGTGCAGTGGCCGCTCCTAGCCACTGCAGCCTCGACCTGCTGGCCTCCAGCGATCCTTCCGCTTCAGCCTTCCAAGTAGCTGGAACTACAGGCGCGCGCTACCACGCCTGGCTAATTTTCTTTTTGATTTATTGTAGAGATGAGGTCTTGCCAAGTTGCCCAGGCAGGGCTCAGGCAATCCACTCACCTCGGCCTCCCAAAATACGGGATTACAGGCTGAGCCATGGAGCCCGGCCTAATATGACCTTTCAAACAGCTTTTCCTCTAGCACTGCTAGATTTGTATTTCTCCACCTGCAGCCATAACCAAGAGTGTCTCTGTGTAAGACTGCCTGGAGTTAAAGGCACAGTCACTTGTAGAGTGGTAGAAGGTAACTGATACATGTCAATAAGCCCACAGGCTTGAACCTCATACACCAGGGGGTTCCACCAGCTACTTGAATGTTGTTTTTTTTTTTTGAGTTGGAGTCTCACTGTGTCGCCCAGACTGGAGTACAGTGGCCACTCCCGGCCACTGCAGCCTCGACTTGCTGGGCTCTGGTGATCCTTCTGCCTCAGCCTTCCAAGTAGCTGGAACTACAGGCGCGCGCTACCATGCCCGGTTCATTTTGATTTTATTGTAGAGACGAGGTCTCGCCAAGTTGCCCAGGCGGGTCTCGAACCCGCGGGCTCAGGCCATCCACTCACCTCAGCCTCCCAAAGGCGCGGGATTACAGGCTGAGCCACTGAGCCTGGCTTACTTGAATGTTAAAGCTTCTTTAAATGCAATCTGTAGATATTTTCAAAGGCTACAAATGGTATTTTACACTACTGGCACAATTTCAGTTGCTGAATATTCCCTCTATAAAAGATCCAACCCTGTAAATCATCAACATCTTGCCAAATAACACCAGTGATATTTGAAAGCCAAAGGGCTACTTACATAACTGCCCCACACACCCGTGGATGACGACTCATTCCTAGGTAGTCATTACTGCACCAGACTGACACCTGCTTTTTGGTGATGAGGGAGTCTGAATAGTCATCTGCCATGGGGAAGATGTGCGCTCGTCGGTTCACGGTTTTAAAAACCCGATAGGTATGGTCATTTTTTTTCTCATCAATTTTCTTCTCAAAGAAATGATCATACTGAAAAGTGGAAACAGCTAAAAACCAAACAAAAGACATACAGCCTGATGGTTAAGAAGCACATTTGGGTTTTGGTAAAGACAAACTGAGTTCAAGTCCCAGATTGGCCACTGAATAGCAGGAAAATTCTAGGCAAGTTACTTGATGTCCTTACCTTGTAAGAAATAAACAAGACTGCATGTCAAGTGTCTAACCCAGTTCTCAGTGTGTAGATGGTAGGTATTAAAAGAAGACAGGCAGCCGGGCTCGGTGACTCAGCCTGTAATCCCGCGCCTTTGGGAGGCTGAGGTGAGTGGATTGCCTGAGCCCGCGGGTTCGAGACTCGCCTTGACAACTTGGCGAGACCTCATCTCTACAATAAATCAAAAATTAGCCAGGCGTGGTGCACACGCCTGTAGTTCCGGCTACTTGGAAGGCTGAGGCGGAAGGATCGCCGGAGCCCAGCAGGTTGAGGCTGCAGTGGCCAGGAGCGGTCACTGCACTCCAGTCTGGGTGACAGACTTGAGACTCCAACTCAAAAAAAATAAAAATAAAAGAAGACAGGCTACACCAACATCATTTGTAGTTACTATAACCAAGAGTACCTCTCTCACATTCAAGCAAGGGACATGGTTTTCCAGTCTCAACTCACCATGCAATTTTTAATCTGATATATGCTTAAATTATAAACTCTCACCTGCATCAGACAAACAACGAAACTTACATTTTGGCAAGTTATCTTGAAGAAGATGAGACACTCTTTCTGGTCTTTGTTTTCGCATGATATCCTGGAAGTTCTTCAGCAGTCCACTTGGATCCCCTCCATCAGTCTTTACATTAATCACACTGGGGTTCACTGAGGTTTGGGCAACCTCTGTAACAAAAATAACAAGAGGCAAATGGGACCAACATTCTGAGCTCACAACACCTTCTAGACACTGTCAAAACAGATTACTGCCTAGTTCACACGCACAAAAAAAACAATCATAACTAAGATTAGTTGTAACTGAGTTCATGAAGCATCCTTCTTCTATTTTAGTTATTGTAATGACAGACTCTTGGTGTTGATTTCAGAGCTACCAGCTAGCTGTAATGAACATTAAGTCCAAAGCATTCTAGCTGGTTGGCACGTCTTCCCCATGCACTCCATCCCCACCTCCATCCTAATCTCAGTTTTCTTCACAGAAAACAATTTTGGCCACACATATAATTTTTGCTGGTGAGGCTTTCTTTTTTTTTTTTTTGAGTTGGAGTCTTACTCTTATCACCCAGGCTGGAATGCAGTGGCACGCTCACAGCCACTGCTGCCTCGACCTGCTGGGCTTAGGTGATTCTTCTGCCTCAGCCTTCCAAATAGCTGGAACTACAGATGCATGCCACCATGCTTGGCTAGTTTTTGTGATTTATTGTAGCGATCAGGTCTCACCAAGTTGTCCAGGCTGGTCTCGAACCCCTAGGCTCAGGCAACCCTCTCCCCTTGGCCTCCCAAAGTGCTGGGATTACAGGCTGAGCCACCGCGCCCAGCCTGGTGAGGTCTTGAGTGTTCTGTGGATGCAGCCACAGATAGAATTAAGGTTGCTACTCAATGACCATCAGTAAGACACACAGCTTGGGGGTCCTACCAGCACTCAATGCAGTTAACACTATTGTTTTCTACCTTTAATCCTACCAGATGGTAGGAAAGATCAAAGGGACAAAGGGTGGTCGGTAGTCACTTAAGACTGCAGGTTATTTTCAGAAACCCAAGCAGTTACTATAACAGCTGGTAACAGCCTACACATTCACCAGAAAGAAAGTCCCATATTTTGCAATCCAGTCCTTTGACTATCTTGAGGACCTTCCTCCTTGGTCCTAAAAGAGGATGTTATTTCTATAAATACCACTCTAATAATAACTCATACACAAATGTGAGGGTCCACAAGAGCCAGACCTCTTCACTCTTCCTATGTTCCCAACTCATCTGTTACCTTTCCTCACAGCATGCATTTCCTGCACGTCCTCCTGAAGTTCGAGACTGGCTTTGCAGAAGACACTGCTGCCCCTCTGGTTCATCTGTGCTGCCAGGAAGGGGCATTTGCTTGCAGTACCCTGACTTGTGGCAGGCAAGGGGTGTCCAGACGGAAGTTGTGTGCCATCTGGAGCCTGCTGGGATCCATCAGGAGCCTGCTGGGATCCATCAGGAGCCTGCTGGACCTTGGCTTTGGCAGTTTTGTCTTCTGAGAGAGGAAATGGAAAAAGTGAAGCATCAGATGTGGTTGTACAGTATATAAGAAAAATCACTTATTTCTCTTCCTGCCTCAAAGAGAAACTTTATACGTATTCTATCCCACCACCGAGACACAAACTTATTTTTATTAGATTCTACTAATCTATTTTTTCATCTGCCTCACTGGAAACAATGCTCCTGTGAAGAGTTAATTGGCCCATTCCATTATATCTCAAACTCACAGTATTTCTTCATATAAATCCAAAAAGCACCATTTTCTGTTTTTAGAAAACCTAGAGTCCTTAAGTTGACTCATTCCAGTAAATTCTACCCCAAGTACAAGTCAGTGTATTTCATGAGAGGACACATTCTCTAAGGTAATTGAAAATATTCACACAATTTTTTTTCTCTGCTAATGTTATCTAAACAGATTCTGGACAAAGAAGCTCACCATTGCTTAACATAAACACTACTGGTTTTCTTCTAAACAAAATAAATTAGACTAAATTATTAATATGTTAAGGAAAAAAACCACAGGTATATCCCATTCACATACCTCTTCTACTTTCTCATCTAAATTCATCAAAGAAGTGTCTGCTGACTTAACACAGTTGGCTGGTAATTATGCTTCTAGCTACAGTGACTTCCCTCTCCCCTTGGCAAATTTGCTCACCTTCCTTCTAGAAAAGTCTTTCTTCATCATTCTGGAATATCCTTGTGAGTCACTGACTAACTTTTCCTATAAATTTGGTAAAATGTCTCAATATAGTTTTCATTAAAATCTTCTATAAAGGGAAGTCAAAAAATTATTTTGGAGTTAATTTCATTCATTATAAAAGTAATACATATTCATTATAGAAAATCTAGGAAAAGAAAAAAAGTCCTATCATTCAAAATATAACCACTGCAAACATTTTGATAAAAAAGACATAACTAACTCCTGAAAATAAATCCTACAAAGGATTAAATTCTTTCTACTTAAAGAAAAAAACATTCTTTTCTTATAAGTCCACACCCAGAAAACACACCTAAGAGAAGCCTGTAAGGTATTTTTTAGAATTAAGTAGAATCTGAAAAGCCTAATCCTTTCCTGACAGAACCAGAACAAAACTAAATTCAACTCCGGTCTCTATTAAAAACAAAACCTGAGCTGGGCTCAGTGGCTCAGCCTGTAATCCTGCGCCTTTGGGAGGCTGAGGTGAGTGGATTGCCTGAGCCCACGGGTTCAAGACCCGCTTGGGCAGCGAGACCTCATCTATACAATAAATAAAAAAATCAGCCGGGCGTGGTAGCACATGCCTGTAATTCCGGCTACTCGGAAGCCTGAGGCGGAAGGATCGCCGGAGCCCAGCAGGTTGAGGCTGTAATGGCCGGGGGCCACCGCACTCCAGTCTGGGCGACAGAGTGAGACTTCAACTCAAAAAAAAATAAAAATAAAAATAAAATAAAATAATAAAATAAAAACAAAACCTGAAAAGCTATACACAAAATAAAGATACATATGTTTCTAAAAAAAATCACCAATAAATACCATACAATTCCACTTATATGAGGTACCAACGGTAATCAAATTCATAGAGACAGAAAGTAGAATGGTAGATAAGGGCTGGGGCAAGGGAGGGAAGGGGAGTTACTGTTTAATGGCTACAGAGTTTCAGTTTGGGAAGATGAAAAAAGTTCTGGAGATGGATGGTGGTAATGGCTGCACAACATGAATGTACTTAATACTACTAAACTGTACATTTAAAAACGGCTAAAAGAGTAAATTTTATGTTATCTGCATCTTACCACAATAAAATAATTTTTTTTAAGGAAAAAAAATCACTACTTTAAAAGTCACAGACCAAATATTCAATTAGAGAAAACACTAAAATTCCAACACTGACATGCAATCCAGAAACCTGTAATGTAGAGCACTGGTCACTATTTCATCTTTACAGGTGAGAAAACTAAAAGTAACAACCATTAGGGTGACAAGATAATCCAGGCACAGAGAGGAGCCTAGCAGAGTAACTCCTCCGTTAGTGTGGCCTTCACCACCATTATGGACTGGAACAGCATCCAGTCTAGTAATCATTACCCCCACCCACTCCTACATTGCCAGTGTCGCTTACTCTCATTGGTTGGAGTGGTTTCTTTGATCTGTTGGCAGTGTACAGCTGAAGTGGACAGTGCCCGCGGGGATGGCTTAGCCCCAACTTCCATCATCTTGGGGCAGTTTTGGGCATAGAACAACAGAGACTTGCCAGCCTTCTGCAAAAAAGCCTGGGGGACTCGGGATAAGAAAGGGCAACGGCGAACAACAGTCTCCATATCCGGGAAGCACACTGGCTCCTGTAGAAAGACAGACTGATGATGTGTGACATCAACACTTGTTAATAATCAGGCAAATACCACTGCAAGGTCACTGGGTTCAGGTGTCACCTGCTGTTTATACCAAGGGTACCCTGGGATATTAACACTTCTCACTCAAAAATGCCTAAGGACAACAACTGATGTGGGACTCAACTAAGGAGTGGTGACCACACGCTATCCAGGTCATCAACTTCTTCATTCTCCAGCTCTATACAAAAACACTCGCAAAAGCAACTTCATCAAATAGAGCAAACAAGGACAGTAAATCACCAAGGGGGTGGAAGGATGAGGCACAAGTCAAGAACAGGTTTGGGAGGCCAGAGGCTCCTTAAGGAGATGCACGGTGCAGATAAGACACCTTGGCACACACCCAGGAGGAGAATGAGGCTAGGGAAGCCACTGTCATCCATCCAGGCACGGAGGACTCTCAGGAATCCTGACCTCCTGGTCCCCAAACCCCAAATCCGAGGAAGGCGTCCAGCAGGGCCCTGAGTCCCCAAGGCCAGGATCTCCCCAAGATCGTGTCCCCATAGCTGGGAGCACTGAGCGTAACTGAAAAGAAAAGGGACAGAACGAAGGGTAGGAGTAGGAGAGAAAGCGCCTTGGGGCTAACTGGGAAGGCGCAGGGCTACAAAATCAAAGGTGCTGGGTCTGGTGAAAGAACACAGTCCTCGAGGCGTGGGGGTCAGAGGTCACCCGGGGTCGAGGACGCCAGAATAATGGGAGGCGTATAAGAAGGGAATTCTAAAGCGGCCGGGTTAAACAAGGACTATCCGGAGGGAGCCGAATGGGGGAAACAGAGGATAAACAAAAGATCTGGAGGATAAATGCTGACCCCAAAGAGACTGGTGGCTGGGACCGTGGGGGATGGGGCGTCGGGGGAGCTGGGCCGGACCGGCAGGACACAGGGGACATCCCCCGGCCTTCGCCCATCCAGAGCGCGGGCCCTTACCTGCGCGGAAGGCTCTGCGGGGGCGGCGGCGGCGACGACGGCAGCGTCACTCAAGCCGAGAAGACCAAGCGAACCGTTGCCCTTGTCCGGCAGCAGTCTCAGGCCGCGGCCGCCGGCGCCCTAATATATAGCGGGAGTGCCCGCTACGCATGCGCCATGGGCGCGGCCTGCTCCACGCAGGCGCGTCGCGTAGTACTCGGAGTCCCGCGGTGGGGACGCAGGGGACAGGAGGGTCTTGGAAGGGAAGGCTACTTCTTGGGCTCAGTGGATGTGGATGCGACTCGGGTTTCCCCTGCTGGCCAGGCAGACAGAGGAAGAAGGGCAAGGCGGTGGGCGATCGAAGTCCCTTTTCCGGACCTCATCCTGCACTCCCTTGTAGCCTCCCGATTAATCCCCCTGCGCTTTGAGAAACCTCCGTCCCGGTTGTGGGGCATAAAAGGGCACGGTCGGAGGCGAAGTGCCACTAGGGCCACCTGGGGTTTTGGACTGTTAAAATGAATACCTTGAGCATGGAGGAAGCAAAGGATGCAAGGAGTTCCCGGCCAGACAGGGTCTTAAGCAGGATCTTTCTTACATGGGACTTGGAAAGATGACTTCCTGGAGAAAGTGGGGCTGAATCGTCTGAAGATGGAGTGGTCCTGGCCAGATGTGCAAGAGGCTGGACTGAGAACCCTGGGGTGAGGAGAATGGAGCAGAAACCGAAGCAGACACAGCTGTGGCACTTTCTGGTTCTAGATGATAGAGGGGACAGAGGGACAGGCCTGGATGGATTCCATCCACTCCACAGCTCTGAGCACCTGGGGGGGAAGGGTGTGGCACAGGGCCTGACAATAGTTAGCCTTTGACACATATTAGCTACTATTTTTATTTTCCATCCAGGGTTGTCCAGAGCCCTTTGCTAGTCACCCTGAATACTAGCTGGGCAGCTTAGGACTCCATTCCAGAGGTCAGAGTTGGGCTGTGCCTCCCTTGAGACTCCCTGAGACTATACCTGATGTGTAGGGCTTGGCAAACCCCCCTTGGGAATACCACCCTGGCCTCCTTGCTCCATACCCTTCCCAGCTTGGCTCAGGCTTGGCTAGGCTGGGCTGGGCCTGGGCCAGGTTCAGAGCTACCCTCCTCCACTCTTGGGGAAAAGGTCATTCGGGTTGTTTCCCAACTGGGCATTAATAAGCGGGACAAAGTCCAGGGTGACGGTGACCAAGGTGTGTCCAGGTACTTCCCAATTCTCTCGTTCTAAGCATCTAGCCAGCTACAAGACAGGTAAGATGAGTCTCTACCAGCAGAAGAAGCATCTAGGTCCAGAGTGGCACTGGGACCAGTCCAGGGTGAGGGCTCAGTTCTGCCCCATCCTGCTAAGGAGGTCTGGGTGTACCCATTAGCCAGAGAAGAGAGAGGGAAGGTCATCACTTGGACTCAGACCCAAGTGCAGCTAGAAATGGGAATAAGATAAGGATGGTATTCTTTGCTTGTTTCTGGACCACACTTTCCTTATCTGGGCAATGGGATAATAATCCATGTTCTGTCTGCCTCACAAGGGTTTTTGCGGAACACAAAAGAACTGGATATTGGAGCTGGGTATGAATTCTGGCTCTGAATCTTACTTGGCTGTGCCCTTGGACAGACCACAATCTCTCTGAGGCTTGGTTTCCTCTTTGGAAAGTTCTCCCAGCCCTGCCACTTGTGACTAACAGGAGGGACAAGTGAAGTCATCGATTTCAGAGGCATATTGCTTCAAGTGACAAGTCTCCAGCCCTCTGGGAGTTTCCTGTTTAATAGAAAGGTTGGGAAACAAGATAGAGTCACACGGAAAGTAGGATGTATAAACAATTCCAGATGGAGGAGGAGGAGGAGTAGGTATGACTCCAACAGGCACTGAAGGAGGAGGATCTGAACCATGAAGAAAGCTTCCAGAGAAGCGGGTACTGGCAAGAAGGGAGGATCTCTGTGGGACTGGGAGACTGTTGGCTGGAAAGGCCCAGCCCTGTGGTGGTGGGGGAGTCAGTGTGAGTCAGCCGGAATAGCTGGGATACAGCCAGGACCTGAGACCAGGAGGTCAGACCAGAAAGGCCCTAAACAAGCCACAGGGCTTCCCAGTGTCAAGGCCCAAAAACCTACCACCACAGTACTGGTCAAAATGCACATTCCTAGGCCACACTCTGATTCTGAGCCAGAAATCAGCACTTTAACCAGATCACCCTTTTGGCGATGTGGGAGTGGGGTATCTTGGAATTGTTGCCTGAGTGGCTCAAGGTTTGAGACCTTGAAAGGCAAGGCTAAAATTATGAGTTCTAATCCTGACTCTGCCACTTTCTGGCTCTGAGATCTAGAGCAAATGACTCCATTCCCTAAGTTTTAGCTTTTGTATCTGTGAAGTGAGAGTTACCCCACCTGCCTTGATGGTAAGTCTGGGTGGATCCTATTCTGGTCCAGTTGTGACTCCTCCTAGGCTGCTGCTTCCCTTCTCCTCCTCTCTCCTCCTCCTCTTCCTCCTTTTTCTTCTTCTCATTCTCCTTCTCCTCCTCTCCCTGCTCCTTTGATTTTCCTTCCTTCCTCCCACCTCTTCCTTTCCCTTCCTTTCCCTCCTTCTTTTTCTCTTCCTCTTCTCTCCCTCCCTTTTCCCTCCCTCCTTCCTTTTTCCTCCCTCCCTTCTCAGAGCTACAGTACAAACTCATCTTATCAGTTGCCCTAGCCCTGAGCAGGGGAACCCAAACTGCCGGAGTTCAGGCAAGGTCAGACCCTATTCTGGGGATGACGCTGAGTCCTTTCTTCCTTCCCAGGCAGTCTGCGTCACCATCACTGTCACTGTCAAGGGCTGCTGCACATAGCACCCATCCAGTGGTCAAGGCAAAAGGAAAATGTCAACCCCAGCCCCAGAATTCACCCTTCCAATTCTGGACCCAGGAGCTATTTTTAGCAGTGCCCGTCCCTGACAGTCCAGTACCTCAACCTGGGTAAACTTACTGCTTTCCTTTGGACCTAAGTTTCCACATCTGTCAGTCAGGCAAGTAATCCGGCCAGCCTTCTCAAGGAGACCTGGGTGAACATGTGGCAGCTTTGAAGATGTTAAAACCTTCAGCCCGTGCTGTTGATGCTCAGTGTGGCCTTGGGCCAGCATTGCTCCTTGGGGTGCCAGTGCCCTTCTGTGTAGTGGTAGATGAGGGGCCAGCTTCATAGAGTGCCTAGAGGTTCTGGAAACTGCTCAACTCTGCCATGGAGAGTTGGAGGCATGACCTCCAGGGTTTTCAGTGGTGGGTCCCAGGAGCCATCATGTGAGATAGAATTTGGGGGCTGGGCAGTGCAGGAAGGTTCTGAGTTTCCCAGCATCTGCCTTGTTCCTGTCCTGCCTTTGGAACACCCTCAGGCTCTGGCTGTAGGGAAAGAGGTGGGCTCTGGCTGGGATGGGGGGTCGACTGGGATGGTGTCAATCCGTTAAATGCCTCAGGAGACAGGTCTGGAGTGGGGCTTGCTGGGAACAGCAGCCCCCACCCTAGAGAGCAGAAAATGCTCAGTGGGCCCCAGAGAACCTCTGAACCTAGCTTCCAGCTTAGTACCCATAGACTGTGGTCCAGACATCTTCTGTTTGGCCAACATAGTACTTGTTTTAAAATGTGAATTAGGTTGGGTATGGCTTACGCCTGTAATCCCAGCACTTTGGGAGGCGAAGACGAGAGGATTGCTTGAGCTCAGGAATCAACAACAGCCTAGGCAACACAGCGAGACCTCGTCTCTACAAAATAAACAAGTTCTTTTTTTTTTTTTTTTTGAGTTG